GTTTGGTTACCATGGAAGTTCAATAATTGTATTTATTTATCTTTTGTTTGTCTGGTTCAGGATGAGAGAAGAATATAGAAGTTCTAATCCAATATCCAATGAGCAACAGAAGTGCCAAGTAGAAGCAATGTAAACAGTGTGTTTTGCAGAGACTTTACACATTCAGGAAGGGAAAATCATATGTTAAATTGTTTCCTGAACGTGTGCACTGCTGTGGTCCAACTTTTCCTACTATGGTTCGAAGCCTGTCATGTTTAGAATATTTCTGCTTCTCCTGGAGCTACTGAAGAGCTGCAAAGCCTTCTCCGTTGGTTCTCTTGGAGCACCACCTAATGGATGAGTTAGGAAAGGTTCCAAGCTTCTGACCAGTTTAAATTTCTTATGTTGTTATCACCAGGTACCTGCTCATCATCACTTTGCGAAGTTGTATCCAGTGATGCCAAATATCAGATAAATAAAACATTTGTTTAAGGGGAGCTGCCATTCCGTGTGTGACACCAGTGTGTCTTTCACATGGGCTGGCAGCTTGAACATTCTTGAAAGGCTTGGGTAGAATATAGACTAAATCTGCAGTTTTCTTCTAAGATAACTTTGACATCGTTAAAGAAAAAAAAATTACATATTTCTTCCTTGCCCCACAATCTCCACAAGTATTTGAAGGACTTTCCACAGCTTCATTAATGACTTCTTCAGTGTGTTTATATAAGAGAACTGATAACTTCCAAAAGGATAAGACAGAGAGCAAAGAAAGGTCAGACACCTCTCTGGCTTTCAACCATTTCTTACTGCTCTGCTTTGCCTCTTTGTATGAATGGTAGTTGCAACTCAGACATCTTTTATTTTTATTTACGTTTTTGTTGTTGTTATTTTTTGGTTATTTTTTCTGCTTCCATCTAAGAAGGAAGGGAGTGGAGAAGAAATGAAGACGGAAACAAAAAAAGGAAGGAAAGTGTGCAGCATTGGTAGATGTTGAGTTTCCCAGAGAAAAGGCCTCAGCTAGTTCTGTAGGGCAGACTGTCCTCATCACCCTCTGTGGTGTCTCCTTGCCTGGGAGATGTTTTCCCAGCTGAGCCCTTTCCACTCCTTGGCCAACATCTCATTCTGTTTCCATCAGCAGTTCACAGATTTTTTGCCTTTCTTGCTGTGAGAAGGAAAGTTTCTCTTTCCATTGGCAGTTTTCCTGCTGATCAGCTGAGTAATGCTCTCCACAGGCCTGCTGTCCTGCTTGGAAAGAGGTCCTTCCCAGCCAGGTCGGCGCTCCCAGCCAGCTGCAGGACCTGTGAGTTCCTGGCAGTGTGAGCCCTTTGCTGGCCAAGAGTAACACCTACACCTCTTCTCCATGTGCAGCCTGCTGGCCCCCAACTTCCCCTGTTTGCTGTGTGACAAAGAGGGATTTTACCTTTCAGCCCTTATTACAGCACACAGCTCATCTCTTTTCCTCTTTCTCATTTGCTTTGTCCACTTAATAAAGGGTTTGGCTCTGGTGAAAGCCCACGTTGACTTCCAAAAGAAAATATTATTAAGTGTTATCTGATATCTCTACAATAGTAATTTTTGGACAACATCCTTGTAAAACATATGACATCTGCCCTGTCAACTAACAAGCTCTGCCTGGTGCCGTGATCTCCTAAGCTCCTTTCTTCAGGACAGCAGCATTTATCTGTAAAGGCAAAGCAGCTGGAAAAAGTGGATAAAATTCTATATAATGGCATGCCTGGCTTAGGAAGTCTTTGATCCAAAGACCACTGGAGCCTTGGAGGTTCTTTGGAGGGAACACTGCCTCTAATTCCCTTCCCTGGCCATACCATTGCCTGCTGTGAGGAGAGGACCATGGTGTTCGTGGTTCTTCAGTCTCAGGCAGTGCAGTTGCACAGCACAGTGAGCGTGACTCACTGGTGGTTCCCTGGCCATGCAATATTTGCTGTTAGCACTGTTGGAGCCTTTCTGATCTGAAAGTCTTTGGCAAACTGCAGAACGTGGGTGTACAGGTGAAAATTTGCTAGGCATCAAGTGGGTTTCTCTTTTCAGGCTGCTGCATTACAGTGAGGAAAGACAAGGGATTAGTGACCAGATGATTTGAGTGCTCAGTGGACTTGGAGTACTCAGCAGACAGATTCAGTTTTTCCTCTCACTCTTTGAAGTCCTCCTCACTTACAGACTTGCTACTTACATTCATAGCACATGGACACTCAAAATAATTGACTTCCTACTGGATGTCTTGTTTCCCAACTTAAAGAGCAGTAAGGCTCGGTTTTATGATGTTAAAGTTGTGTCATTGGCAAAAAAGTTGGGTCAGCTAAAACATCTTTTATAGGACTTGTGTGTTCTAAGTTTCCCCTTTTATGTGAAAGGGGTTTTTTTCTTTCTCCCTGTTGTGTTGGATGCAAAAACCCCACAATGCTCCACACTGACCAGTTGGTCCAACTTCATTTGCTCGAAGACAAACTCTAAAATCAGTGTTTTGATAAGTAATCATTGAGGTTCTCTTGGACTGAGTCTGTGGTTTTGCTCTTGGAATGGGCTCAGAATACAGCAAGAGAGTTGTTGACTCATGGCAGATGCCAGGGCAGTGCCTGAGCCACGGGAGCTGCTGCTTTGCTGTGCCACACTGCTCTGGCCCCTGGCAGACTCGATGTTAATCAGAGCAGTGCTGAAACCTGCTCTCTTGGTTCATTCAGAGACAAATATTCTGCTTTTGTGATGGACTCCACCGACAAGGGTTTGGTTTAGCAGGCAGGGAAGAGATGACAGAGGACAGCTATAAAGCAGTGGTTATTAGCAAATAATTGACATTTTATTTTCTATGCCTTTTTGCTGATCATGCAAATTCAAGACTCCTTTTCAAATAATTGGATACCCTTAAACAAAGCATATGTTGATAGGGTGTGTGTTTTCATTGTTTTCTGATCATTGTGTCTTAAATGATGCAATTTTTCATTTGGTAGAATGTACACAAGGAGGTCATTATGAAATAAAGAAGTATTAGCAAACATCAGAAAATACTAGAAAACTAGAGACTTCTCAACTTCATTTTACAGCATTCTTTGCTTTTGAGTCTTGCAGTCAGATTCTTTTATTGAGCTCCTTGAAGGAATTTATCTTTTTTGTGCTGTTTTAGAGAAATAAGAGTGAAGGTGACATAGATAAGTTTGTGTTTGTTTGCTTTTTTGTTTTTGTTTTACCACTGATGGATGTTATTAAAGACCTCAGCAACAGTCAAACCCTGTTTAACAGACTAGGATTTTTCTTGAAGAGTCAGGATTTTGCCCTGTATAGTGACTCAAAATTTGTTTAAGTATGTTCTTATAAATATACAACGATTCAATAAAGGCACCACAACTGTCCCACCATTTTAAATACAGTTATTAGTTCATTTTCCAAGGGAATTATGACTGGAAGCAGTGTGATCCAGCACAAGATTATATTACAACTTTTTCATTTCACAGTGGTATCAGAATCCAAACTGTGCCTCTATTTGGTTTATAAATTTGTTTTTGTGAACATTTGCAGAATTGTAATATCTTAGTTTTGCCAAAATCAGACCTCAGTTTGGCAGACACTTCTTTTATCAATTCCAGTTGTTCTTCCACAACCCTTTGAGGATTTTCTTTTTCATGTAGTCAATACTCTGTGTACTCCATCATGCATTCAATTAGAGGACACGTCAAATACATCTGTATTTAAACATGAATTGTATTACTTCTCTCTTATTTTTGGCCTAGACTAAGTTTTGCTCTACGTTAAGTATTTTGGAATGACAAATGCTTGCAGTACAGTATAGCATCTAAACTGTAGTGGGCTTTGTTATGATTACAGTGTTGTCATGGCAATATAATTTTTGCAAATGAAAAGCCAGGGTTCACATCTGTAGTTCTTACAAATCCTGGAAGTCCTGAGACAGGTCAGTTAGTCATACATTTTACAGTATCCCACATACAATAAGCTTTCTAAAGTCATAGCAGTGTACAGTATTACAGCAGAATTAGCTGGGAACTCCTAAGAAAATACTACTGAAAAAAAAGAAAAGAAAAAAAAAAGAGGCAAATGTAATAGTTGGATTTTAAAATGCCTTTCTCTTCCTTGCTCAAGAAAGCTGTTCTTTGCACCCCACCTAACACATCAGCTCACTGGAGCCAGCCAAGCCATGTCAGTTCACCACCCATGTAACCTGTGGTTCACATGGAGAATGGCATCCCTCAGTGGGAAGTTGTGTTCTACCTTCTGAATGATCTTCAGATGAATAATGGGATAAAGAAAACGCAATTTTAAAGACAGTCACTGAGAAAGTCCATTTCTGGAAGTAATGAGTCAAGCACAGCTGAAAAAGCACACTTGGTTTTACACCAACAGAGCGTCCAGGAGTGTGCCAAGGTCTGACAGAACGAACTAAACAGCTCCGTTTCATGACAAAAGCAGTGATGAACAGGACAGGATGCTGGCTCTCTGCAGTTGTTGTGATAGGCTTTTCTTGGCCATTAGGCATTGATCTTCCCCACAGTGGGTCAGTCTCTCCTGGTTGAGACTGTTGTGGTTCCAAAAGGAACATGGGCTCCATCAGGAACTGTATATCCAGACTGGAAGTGATGGTAAAGAGATGATAAAATGATGATTCCTATGAAATCTTCTTCTAGATTTCTAGAAATCATCTTCTAAAGATGATTTCTATGCCAGGGGGGCATAGGAAAAATAAGTGCACCACCCAGTATCAGTTTTGTCATTGAAAACCCATCTTTTTATTACTTGTCTGTTTTTAAATTTTGTTATGTCTTAGATCTCATTAAATGCAGAAATCACAATCTAACCATGAACTTTAGCTATTTTCTTGCTTTCTTGATCCTGTAAAATTTGTTTCTGAAGTGTAAGTATCTCTTAATTAAGAACAAACTTGTAATGGAAATGGGATGTCCAGTCAAGTGCCTGAAAAAGTTGGGAAAAAAATTGCCCACGCTTTTAATAAATAACTCTTGGTGTGTCTTTTTTTTTTCCCCGTGTGACTGCAGTCTATGAGTCTGATAGAGATTGGGAACCCCTCACAAAGCCTGGAGAACGTGTGTCGCTGGGCCTACCTGCAGCAGAAACCCGACACTGGGCACGCCGAGTATCACGACCATGCCATCTTCCTCACCAGGCAGGATTTTGGTCCATCAGGCATGCAAGGTGTGTGTCTGGGTTTGTTTTGCATTTGCATTTATTACCAAACCATGCTAGTCATGTAAAGTTTAATTGTATCTCTTTTGCTGGGCTGTGCTCAGTGTTTTCTTTCCCCAAGAGCTCTGTGTTGGGCCATTTTCAGTTGTAACTGCTTTACTTGTTATTTGATCCTTTCTCACTGTTACATCACTGCTGTGTTCTTACTGAAGCAAAGAAAATGGGATACATATGTAAACAGTCCTGGAAATGCCCAAAGATTAAAAAATAGATTTTGTGTTTAAAAAGTTCCAAAGCTGTTGCTGTGTTACAGACTATTTGCAAGATATGTGGTTATGGAGAGGTCTGGAACAGCAGGGCCAAGTGCTGTCCTCTTTTTCCATTTTTTAGAACTCTGCCTCCTGTGAGATCAGGTTTTTCACCAGAGGGGAGAAATCTCAGAGCTTTCCCATTCATTTTGAGTTGGCCAGAACTGCTGTCAGCACAGGGCTGGGGCTTTGCTCCCTTAGGGCTGGTACTGGGCTCCTCCGTGCAGCAGCACGTGGTGTCCTTTGCCTCTGTTGTCTTATGCACTTAGAAGAGGCAATTGCAGGGCAGACCAAGAGGTGACAAGAATTTTCTTGGTGAGCCAGGAAGTTTTCACTTGTTCAAGGTTGGTTTCACCTGTTTCACAGATGAAGGAGAACATGGTTAAATGTTTGGGGGCAGAGGTCTTGAGAGGACCACTTCAGCTATGCTTGTGTCATAACAAAGGACAGGGCTCACCCTAGAGCTTCCCACCACGTTGATTTTTTCTGTGCTTGTTGATTTTCTGAAACCCTTGCTGTTTCTCACAGGCTATGCTCCTGTCACTGGGATGTGCCATCCTGTCCGAAGCTGCACTCTCAACCACGAAGATGGTTTTTCATCTGCATTTGTGGTGGCTCATGAAACTGGACATGTGTGAGTACAACTGGGCATCTGTGTTGTGCCTTAAATGGCTTTTGGTGCAGAAAAATGCTGATGATATTGGACAGATGCAATTGATGTTAAGAAATAATATTTAGGGTTAGCTCTGGTTTCAGGTCTCAGCTCTCACAAAGCTTTTTTTATGATCTTAAGTAAGCTTTATATTTTGGGATTTTCAGATGGGAAAAAAGAACTAATACCAAGATATCTTCCAGGGCTGCTGTGGGACTAGGTTGAATGATGTATTGTAGTCTCCTGGTGGAAATGTAAAGTGCCCATAATCAAGAAATATGAATTCACTGAGTCAGTGGAACACAGTATGCTTGTAAGCAATCCATACTAAATAAGCCCATAATCTGTATATGTTACTGCTGATAAAGGAAACAATACAGTATACAATAAAGTATAGAAGTGAGGTGCCAAGCACTGCAGTTACAACTGTTTTATATTTCTTATATGAAAAATGCAATTTTACCTGTTGACGTGATTTGAACCTATGCCTGGGCAGCAGTTGTCAGACCTTTGGTTTTTCCCAGATCTTTTTAGTTTTCCTGTTTTCCCTCCAGAGAACTCCCACTGATTTCCCATTTTCTCTTTGGTAGAATAACAGTTACCAGAAGGCTTTTTCTGAACAGTTTCCATCTATTCTGTTTTGCCTAAGAAAGCCAGCAGGCCCTTTCTCTTTTTTTAAACAATAAAGTGCCAGAATTTATTGAAATCTCCACAAACATGTCTTAGTTAGACAGAGACACCTATTTGAGACTCAGATAGTATTTGATTCCAGAATTTTTGAATTAGGAATGAAAAGAACACAGCATGGGCTTTAAAAAAGACACCACTGCAGGAAGTTTGTAATCCCTCAAGTCATATTCAGACCCAATCTGTTAATTTGGTTTAACTATGGACAGATATTGCCCATGTTAGTCCAATAGTGCTTATTAAAAGTGCAATATAAGATCCTAACAAAGGAAAGGATCAAATATATTCATAATAAATCCAAAAAGAAATTTTAAACTATCTGTAATTTGAGGTAATTTTCTAGAAAGCATCCACCACTTTCCAGGCTGCTTTACATTTAAACAATGTGGGATTGCTCCTGGGCAACAGCAGCAGCTTGTCTGAACTAGCTTTCTGTGTGGTGCCTTTCTTTATTTCCATGCAAAAAAGTCTGCAGTTGCAAAATACTTTGAATCAAGCTAAGGTGTGATTTTTTTAGAAGTTATATAAAGCCCTGAATAGCACTAGATTAGAGCCTGGGAACATTTCTGTTGGTATTCCTGGAGGGTGGGCAGGATCAGTAATTCAGGGATAGGTTCACATTTAGCTGTCGTGATTCACAAATGTGCATGTGCACAAAGCCCACAAAAGATATTTTTAGGTTTTTTTCGAAAGTGGATTAGGCCAATGACACCAAAGCACTCTCCAGGCCAATCCTTCCATGTGGCAGTTACTCCAGACCAGCTCTTTAGCTCCATCCCCACCCTGTCTTGCTCCCCATGACTTTGCCCATGTGAACAAGGGCCGTGGGACTTCAGAGCCTTGCTGGCACCAGCCCCTGGTGTCACGGGGAGGGGCAGCGCTCGGAGCCCACCCGCGACGTCACCGCCGTGTCTCTGTGTGCGGGGCAGGTTAGGAATGGAGCACGACGGCCAAGGCAACCGCTGTGGGGACGAGGTCCGGCTGGGCAGCATCATGGCCCCCCTGGTGCAGGCTGCCTTCCACCGCTTCCACTGGTCCCGCTGCAGCCAGCAGGAGCTGAACCGCTACCTCCAGTGAGTACTGCCCACGGCGCGGAGCGCGTGGGAACGGTTCCGCGCCGCGCCCTCGCCTCGATGCCAGCCCACTCTAAGTTATTCTCGTTCCACTTGTGTCTGTTCGTTTTCTGGACACTGAGGGTGTGTTTGCTGTCCCCTCAGGGATGGTGGAAGGCACTGTTATGAATGTCATTGCTAACTTTCCTCCCTCCCTACTCTAACCTCTAGCTGAGCGCTGCCTTGGCTACCCAGCAGTGTTGTGTCTGTCTTGCCATTTGTTGCTTGTGATGCCTGTCAGTGACAAGATGGTGCTGTCTAGAGAGGAAAATCTGCCCTTTAAGTGCTCAGGGCTTTTCTTGACTTTAGTAGATACCTGAAGAGCACACATGGTTCCAGAACAAGTTCTTCAGTTGTTAATTTTTCTTTCAGTACCTTAAATGCAAAAGCTGTTTAAACAGCTTCATCCATGCCCCTTGTCTTCCTTTTTGGACCTGACACTTCAGGCATTAGACTGGTGTGGAGCTCCCTGACAAATTCTGTTGTTTATGACCTTTATTTTGCTCCTTACAGAAAAACCCTCCCCTTATTATGTGGAAGTTGTACAAAAAATATGGGGAAACTACTACCATAACCAGCAAAAGCTGAAAATGAGAGGGGGAAAAGTGCAGCAAAATACATGAAGTAAACATGAGTCAGCCTTTTTGTCAGTATTTTTATTATCATAGATATCTTAGGTGTGGCAATAAGGAATAAAAACATTGTGAGGGAAGTGTGATTGTTTCAATTAGCAAGATCCTCCAGAGCTTTAGCCATTAAATAAAAATCATCTGGCCTAGAGGGCTGCTTTATGTTCTTTTAAATACAACTATTTATAAAATGTCTTATAACAAAGCAGAATGATGATTTCCTTTGAAGTAAATCTAACCTCAAAATTCTGCTTTCAGCTGTTGGTAACTTCAAGGCAACCTTAATGATTGCCAGGATAGGCATGTGTATGGTGTCCTCATGTCTGTTAAATAACTGGGAGACATTTCAGAGATCCTGTGGACTGTGCTGGTGTTGTGAATCAACCAATTCTTACACTGTGTTAACCATTTGGTGGTACTGGCATCAGTCCTTTGTACTGGCATGGTTTGGTCAGATGTAATTCTCGAGGCTATCCTCACTCCTTAGGAGCAGAGGAGAAACTTCCACATTGGTCACACAGAAAGAAAACTTAGTTTAAACTATGGATGGAGTTGGGAGCGATCAGGATAAGCAGAGAGAGGGAGCAAACCCGAGTGAAGTCTGTAAATGAATCACTGCTTCTCAGGGAGGACACAGGGAAACTAAGCTCACTAAGTGGTATTCTGGGCTGGTTACCCTGGCCTCTGCTTTTGAAACCTCATTTGAGAGACAGCTGCAGGCAGCAAGACATTCCGCAAATGGAAAATTAATTAAACTTTCTTTTCTTCCTGGTCTCATGTGGGTTCTTCCTTTGATTCTTTTCACATAAGGGGCCTGGACACTGATAGGAATTTACCTGCAAGCTAAATGGAAATTACAATGGAAGGGCTTCAAAAAAAGATGTGTAGGATCCATTGAAGGTAGATACGACATGCCGAAGTGAATGTGAGCGTAATTGCAATATTAGCTGCTCTTCAGGACCAGGATCTGAGAAACTGTAGGCTCTGTTTTGTTTGGAACAAAAAGGCAATGAAACCACAAACACTGTGCAAGCCTCACAGCCCCATCTGTTCCTGTCATTTCTGCCTGTTGCAGCTCCTACGATTGTCTGCGGGATGATCCCTTCGAACACGACTGGCCCTCCCTCCCACAGCTGCCAGGGATTCACTACTCCATGAATGAGCAGTGCCGGTTTGACTTCGGTCTGGGATACATGATGTGCACAGCTGTGAGTACTTAACTTCAGCTTCTGCTATTTCTCATCCAGGAGTGGTCTAAGTGTCTCTGAAATGTCCTTAAAAGGGACAGCATAGTGAAGCCCACAAGGAAAGATGTTGTGCCTTCTTATCTGTAAGCAAGGATTAACAACTGAATGTTGACATTCATGTTATTTTAAATATCTCTTGGTTTTTGGGTTTTTTTAACTGGAATTACAGACGTAATTATTGTGTAGTTTCATAAATATCTGTATTTGTCAAGCAAACAAACTTGCTGTGTTTTTGAGCCTCCTCCTGCTGGCAGCTGGTTATTTTGCTACAAAACTCCCACCCGGATGTGAAGGAGATGGATTTGCTGCCACGTCTCATAGTGCTAGCACAGGGCAGCATGCTTTTATGATCCAATTTTATGGAAAGTGTGATACATTTTGATACCTTGCAAGAGAAAATAGGCATCACAGCGAGTAAAGCAACCTGTAACAGCTCTTGATGACACGGTTGGCTCTTGGGTATGAGGAAAACAAGAGGCAAAGTCTAAGTTTAAAGCAAGGCAAGATTAGTGCTATTCTCAGTGGACTGGCCTCAGAAAATGGAGTCTTCTGAAGCAGGGCTGTGTCTCCCACCTCCAGCTCCTCAAGTAGAACTAAATATTAAATGGAAAGAGATGTTTTCAGCTGCTGACAGCTGCTGACACGTAACATTTCTGCTTTCATTCCCATCTGCAGGAATATATGTGCTAAGCAGTGTCCCTAGATAATGGATGAGAACCTTTACAGCATGAGCTGTAGTGTTGTGTCTTTACACAATTCCCTCTGATGCTGCCTTGGAAGAATGTCCCAGCCAAAGAGAATCTTTTGTTACAGCCATCCTGGGAGATGGAGGCTTTCTATTCTGCTTTGTTCACAATACCCAAAAGCATGACCAGATATCGTGATTTACTATGTTTAGTGGTGGGTGGTTCCCATCCTCTCTTGTAGAAGCCTTTGCATTGTAGGTAAACTGCTGATTTATTCATTGGACTGGGGACCTGATCTCAAATTTCCATCCCCCTAAGAAGGGGATTACAACAGTTGAGCTAAAGTCTGAGCAGCTCATTTCCATCTCCCATGGGTGCATAAGGATTTTTTGCTTTGTTTGCCAAATGAAGCAGCCCCATTTGGAGAAGCTGTCAGAAAAGGCAGCGTGTGCCTCACTGCCCGAGGAAGCTGGTTGGTCACTTGTGTAGAGCTATTTTTGCTTGACTTTAGTCCATCTCATGCAGATGGGATCTCGCCTCAGAGTCATGATTCTGTATGCTCAAATATTCAATCCACAGACATCACGGTGCTCCTGAGGGATCAGCACTAACAGCTGCCATTTCAAACCTGGGAAAGGAACCCCCCCATCTGCAGCTTCTGTTGCAGTTTCCGGTGGGAGCTCTCTCAAAGCATCATCCACTCTGATTTTTTTTTGTGTGTTCCAGTTCCGTACATTTGATCCCTGCAAGCAGCTGTGGTGTAGCCACCCCGAGAACCCCTATTTCTGCAAGACAAAGAAAGGGCCTCCGCTGGACGGGACCATGTGTGCACCAGGGAAGGTGAGAGCTGGTGCCCCGTGCCCCCACACCCCGTGTGTGTTCACGTGTGTTTGTGTGCAGCTGGGGACGCTCCCCTCAAAATCAAGAGGAACAAGAGAAGAACCTGTCTGGAGTGCCTGAGGTTTGCTAAGATGTGGGGCAAACTCCTGAGTGCAAGTGAGTGCTGAGCATTAGCTCAGCTGGTTGGAGCATGGTGCTAATAGCACATGGGCTTGATCCCTGTAGGGGCCATCCACTCAAGAGTTGAGTTTGATGATCCTTGTGGATCCATCCACAAGGTTGGTTCCATCCAACTCAGAATATTCTGTGATTGTGAGCACTGTGAGGGGAGGACATGGGGTGAGGGCTGGCGTGTCCTGCATGGCCACTCTGGGACCATTAAACTCCGTCCTCAATCAAGTCCTGGCAGTATCTATCGCAGGCAAGTCTCTGTGGCAAAGCCAAAAATGGGGAAATTTCCGCTCTCCTACGTTCTTTTGAGGTCAGGGTGTTGTGCTTGGACCAGCAATGTTGCCCTGGTGCTGCCTGGCCTCCCCTTGCAGAGAGCAGTGGGAGCCGGAGAAACAGCCAAGCCACGGCCGCTGGAGCTTCCCAGAGGGAAAGGAGGGATGTGGGAGCTGAGTGCCAGCTGGACAGAACCCAGACGACAGCACAGAGGGGCTGTGAGCAGAGAAGGGCAGGTCTGTGGAGGTGGATTTGCAGGTTTGATGAGAGCCCAGGGAGGCACGGGGAGTGGTGTGGGGTGGCAGAGGCTCAGAGAGCTCCGGCCGCGCAGCCACCGCGCTGGAGCCGCTCCCAGCCCCAGCCTTCCTCCGCGGAGAGCGCGCTCTGCTCACAGTGGGCCTGAACTCCAACTCCTTTGAAGTCTGATGGAAAAAGTCTGGCATCCCTGGGCTTTGGATGCAGTGACTGAGGGGGAGAGGAAGATGTCGCTACTTGGAAAGGTTTTTTTACAACCCAGTGTATGACATCATTTATGCGATAAATGAACCATATTAGCAGCTGCTGTTATGGTTTGAAAAGCCTTTTTTTATGAAAAAGTTATGTTAAATTAATTCCCCAAGAAGTCACGCTCTATTCAAACTACTCCTTTCTGGTTTTCTTTTCTTTAAATCATTCCTGTTACAAAAGCTTTGTTTCTTATTAAAAAAAAAATAAATTAAAAAATAGGTTATAATCCAAAATTTTAGACAATTTATTTGGATACACTTTTATCTTGATTTTTATATTAAAAATATTCATGACCCCCAACTGAAAAAAAAAAAAGTTATATTCCATTTTGTTGCATCACCCTCTTCCCTGAGCTATTCATTCATATTAGTATTTGAACAGAAATGAGGAGAAAAAAGGAATTTGTAACCCTACAGTTAAGGATCTGTCAGTGCTTCCATTATAAACAGTTTGTCAGGATATTATGCAACTCAGCTGTAAAAATTTTCTTTGGACTGGAACTTGGGATCCAAGGCTTCAGCAAGCTGTGCAGACAGCCAGGCTTTTGAGCTCTGCAGAGATGCAAGAGAGTATGTGCACATTCTGAAGTTTCAGTAGATGATAGGGTTTTATTCTCAAGGGAGCTGTCCCAGTTTTTTGATAAATAAACTTGCTGCCACCTTCCAGAAGAACCTGAGAAAATGATGAAAAATGAAAACCATTTTATTAGATAAGACTCAGCAGTCTGAACTAAATGGTTTGGGTTTTTTAAAATAGTGTGAGTTCTGGAGGTTATATAGCTGACTTTATGTATCTGAACTCAGCATTTGACCGGTGTGTTTATTAGATGTTGGTGTTTTTAATACAGGTACATCAGATCAATGCTTTTACGTCTGTTCCTTTCCTTTTCATCCCTGCCCTTGATTTTGCCTTCCCCTGTTCACTCACCTCACCAACTGGGATGATACCAGAGGCTCTTGCCTGAATGCACAGGGCTGTAAAATGCATTTATTGCCCAAAGCTGGGACTCAGTTGCTGTGGGGCAGCTTCCTTTCAGGTTCATCTCCCAGGATACCTCATCAGCACTTAAGAAAAATGGAAAATAATTTCAAACATGATCTCCTATTTTCTTTGGAATCATGCCAGAAAAGAAAAGTACAGAAACATAAGCAATTAAAAATGTTGATTGAGAAAGATTCATTTGTTTCCCACTTTAGAGACTTGCAGTTTTCCTGATTTCATACCACTAATTCCCAGGGCCTATTTTAAGCTCAAACCAATCACAACACTGCTGATGTGTCACAGAAACATCCTGGCTTTGCTGCAGCTGAGGGGACAGGATGCCAGAAATGAGAGTGGTGCTGGGGAGGCGAACACGGCGCGTGGTGCGTGGGCGCTCTCACCTGGGGCTGGTGTTCACATAACTGATAACTGACCCCAAATCCAGCAAGATGCCATGGAGGAGAATCCAGTCCAGCTGCCTCCTTCCTAACTGATGGCCAAGGGGCAAGAACAACCATGTGGGAGATGTGACTCTGGAGCATGTTTTTGGCAGGCAGGATGGGAAGGGGCATGTGTCTGCCCAGGTTGTGTCCTGGACCCAGACATGGCCCTTTGAAAGGGAAGATGAGGCTTTCTCATGCTGTCTACACGTGTGTATGTATGTGTACAGATAAGTATATATATTTATGTAAATGTTTGTGAGCTCTTCTGTGCCTGTGGTCATTTGAACTAAGTTGCCCAAAGAGTAATGTTCTGTCATTTTGAAGACTTCTTAATAAGTCTTCTTGTGCAAATGAAGATACTGAGCAACCATTATGTTAATTGGCAGCAAACTAATAATTTGCTGGGTTTAAAGATTAAAAAATAACATATTCTCCTGGACCTTCCCAGTCAGAAATGAAAACTACTATTTTGACAGAATCCTAAAGGAAATAGAATAATATATACTGCTCTCAGCTTGATTTTTTTAAAACCAGATTGAGTTTTCAACAGCAAGAGGGAAGTTTCTATCAGTTTTGTGAGGCTTTGATGATACAGCAATGGTCACATTACCTTCCACAAAATAACTCTGGTGTGTAAAGTTAAGCATTTGGAAGTTCAGAGTCTTACTGTGCAGTCACAGACACTCCATAAATTGCTGTAGTAAACCATGCAGGCAAGACATAACTGTGCAAAGCTTAACTCTGCCCGGCATTCTGTAGATTGAAAGAAAATATATGCTGTCAGCTGATAATTTATTTACTTGTATACAATTCTGTCAGCTCTACCATTAGCCTCAGGCTTCTGAATCCAGGCAAAGTTCAGAAATCTATCATCAGTTTTTGTTATTCCATTTTTTAAAAATATTACTCTTCTGGGGAGACATTTATGTCGGCTGAAGTAGCTAACTGCTCTCCACAGGGTAGAAATAAAACCCAGAGTCAGTCATGCAGGGAGATCACATGTTTGAGTCCATCTGCTTGCTGCAGTGACTAACATCAAGGTTTGCAGCACCTGAGCCTCCTTTTTTTTCTTTTCTTCGGGAGAGGTTAAGAGCCTGGTAGCTGCCCCTGCCAACCAAGCTGATGTTGCACTTGGATTTGGCTTCTGTGCCAAGGATCCAGCACAAACCTAGCAGGTCTTCTCTTTGCTTGCACTGTGCTAATGAGATGATCTGAGTAAAACTTGGAATGGTTTTTTATTCTGTCAGGAAAGGAAGGGAATGATTAAATATTGAAATAAATAGATATTTTTGAGAAGAAAGATGGACCAAGAAAAGAGGGTTCTGAAAACACTAATGTGTACTCAAAGCAATCCAGTTAATTTCCCACTGAGAAAGCTGACCTCAGCTTCTCTTGGAGACAGGAGACAGATGGGTGAGTGTGTGCTGTGTTAGTCACCACAGAAACGGGAATACTTGCTTCTCCACTGAAGAAACTTTTACTGCCTCAGAGTAGTCCTCAGTGTTGGAACTTTCAGTTCATCCCTTGCAACTAATTATTTCAAACAGATGGAGCAGAGCGGGCCAGCCTGCGTGTGATGGGGAATGCAAATAAATCAGTAACCCCCTCCTGATGGGACCCCAGGACAGTGAGGAGAACTGAGACCCCCAGCCTTGGTGCAGTAGGAGGGGTTACTTGGTAGATACTGGAGCATCAGGTGAGAAGATCAGAGAGGTGCCCACTGCTGCCCAATATAAAATAGTTATAGATACCCACAGAAGATCTTCAAGTCTTTTCTTGGAAAATTGACTTGCAGATGTGTTAAGCCCACAGGAACACACTGGCTCTTTTTTTGGCATCCACAGCAGTTGTTTCAAAGAACTGCTGAAAACAGCAGTGGAATGTTTTACTGCAAGAAATTTAAGCTCCCTCTCCTGGAAATTGCACTTGTTTTGGACAGCCCTGTTTGCCAGAAAAATAGGCGAGACTGCAAGAAGTCATCTTCAACTAAGAAAACAATTTGCATTTACCCATTTTTTTCTCATTAAAAAAAATTGCTTTAATATGCTTCATTCTTTAAGTGAAACCCCCTGTTTATGAAGGGAATAGTGCTTGAAATTGGCTCTTTTCCACCTCATTATGTAGTTAATGTAGTAGCAATAGGAAAGTTTGGCTTTAACTTCCTTTATTACACTGGAGATTGCTCTGTCTCTGGTTTTACCTTCTCATGCATTTTCTTGCACGGATCTGCACAGAGTAAGATTCATTAGTGAATCATTTTGTTTCTGTAGGCTCCATTCTTTTTATCCACAAAAAAAAAGGCAGAGCTGGGGATGACTCATTTTAGACAAATGCTTCTCTCCTAATAGCTCTGCCCCAGCTTCCCAACAATCAGCATCTGACCAGCTTCTGCACTAAAAATCAGTGCTGCTCTTCTCTTTACACAGCAAAGTCAATAACACTATTCCATGTTTGCCTTCCAGTTCAGGGACCAGTCTCAATGTCAGAGAAGGGGTTTATTAGAGGTTGTTGCAAACCTGCATCCTGCTATTCCTGACTAAAACAGGGAAAAGAGGCTGGGAAACACAGTGCCATCACATGTCTCTCCCTCTCCCCCATGAGTCCAAGCACTGGATTCTGGATCATCACACAATGAAGGTAGGCTAAATGGCACCTGAAATGGATTTGGTCACTGCTGTGGAACTTACACCTGAGAGATGCAGCAGCCTGATAAAAGGATGGGTGAGCAAGCACAGATCAGGAGCTGTCACTTCACATCTGCTTCCAAGCCCAGCTGAAATGTCTATTGACAAGCTGAGACATTGCCAGCTTCCCCCACATTGCTGAATGGTCCCCTGGCAGCGCAGGGCCCCACGACTCAAACTGTTTGTTCAAACAAACCTCCTAAAGCCATAAGTAAACAGTCCCTGAAGGGTACAGCCCTGAGCTTCTAAACCAAAAAAAGCAAAGGACATATTAGCATTTTGCATTTCTTTCATGCTTTGCTGAATTATCTCTTGTTCTGTCAAACATCTAAGAAAAATCTGCCCATTACAGCTCTGGAGCTGGATTGGTATAATTGGCTTTGTGGTAACTCATCTATTTCAATAGGTTTTGACTTTGAATATCTGAAGTCATGGGAAAGAAAAAAAATAGTTGAAACCTAATTTCTACTCTCTCTTCTACTCCTTGTCCAAGCAAATCAGCCCCAAAATAAATTGCATGAATAAGGAGCCAGTCAGTGAGCAGATTAGTGAACCAGTAAGCTGTGCCTTGTCACCATTCTAATGATTCTCTCTTGAAATTCAGCATTATTAATGATTATCCTTCACTTTTAGATTTGCCTTCCAGATCACTAATCGCTCTATGCTCAAGAACGCTCTCCTGTTATATATCTTCTGATTTTGTTTTTGCTGGCAGCATGCATTTAGCCATATGCTTGTCTTGTGCAGCCTGCCAAATTCCTGCGTTCCAGGGCTTGTTAAGCTGTGTAAAATGTTGTTGTTGACTTGAATGTTAAGGAAAGTAAGTGACTGATTTCACTTGTTGTTGCAGCCATCTGTGCTCCTGCGCCAGAGCTCTCATCCCGGCAGTAACCGTTAACGCAGACAAACTGTGACAGCCTCATGCAAAGTCGTTTGTTTGCTGGAATATATTTTCCAGCACCCACACTTCATCAGTAGACTTTTATGAAAGCAGAAATAGTACTGAAATGGGCCAGAATCTTGTGATCCTTGAGAAGAATTCTTTGTGACTTCAGCTGAGAAAAAATTCCATGATTAGGGACTGGAGAAATTGGTGGAAAGGCATTGACCGGTTTCTTTAACAGGAGATGACAGTAGAGGTGATTAGTACTGGAGCTATGAAGGCTCTTAAAGAAATAAAATAAATCTCTTAATAGTTTGGGGAATGTAGCAAATTCTGTGTTTCAGCTGCTGTAGAATGACTGTATTAAAAACCAGATAAAAGAAAGGAGAAAGTGTGGTAGGTGTGATGAACTCTGCAGCTGTGGGACTGTCCAGGGCTGTCCCTAAGGAATGCCTCCTGGTTTTTTGGTCAGGCTTACCATGAGGTCTCCAGGGAGACACTGCAAAAGTTTTTAATGAATAGCATTAATGTATACAATGTGAGCTTGCTTTAATTCCATGACACTTTGCTGATTGCATTTATTATGGGAATATGTGTGTGGATTTGGGAGTGGCTGGGCAGGATGGTGCTATGGCCAGAGCTCCTGACAGTGCTGCCTGGAGAGGAGTGGAGGATGTTACTGTTAGCCTCCAAGATCTGGGATTCTGCCATTTTCCTTCCTTTCCCTGCTGCAGACAGGTGATGAGGAAATGTAACACAGAACAGTTTAACAAACTTGGTAGACTTGAAACCTGCATGCACAGATGTGTGTACTTACAAATGTAAGGTTGTAAAATCTGAGTGAGTTTGGGATCATGGGCACAATCTGGCAGCACAACCCTCTACTTTCTACAGGAGAGGTGAAAACAATCCAGAACTTGTGCCGAAAATTAAAATGTGTGGTACAACAGCTTCTCCTCTGATGCAAGTTAATCATCCAATCATTCTGACATCTGATTCTGTCTTTCAGCATTGCTTTAAAGGTCACTGCATCTGGCTCACACCAGACATCCTGAAGCAGGATGGACACTGGGGGGCATGGAGCAAGTTTGGCTCTTGTTCCCGCACGTGTGGCACCGGGGTGAAGTACAGGACCCGGCAGTGTGACAACCCACAGTAAGTGACACCCCACTGGTGTGGGCTCCTCTGATGTGCAGAGCTGCACGGGGAGGATCCTCAGTGCATGGCCAGTGCAGCAGTGCAGCAAAGGATGCTGAGTGGTGCTTGTTAAATGACCTATAGCATAAGTTGTCAGAAATTCTACTTTTGGCACCCTTAGCAAGTCATGAATCATCTTTATTTCTCAGTTTAGCCACCCATTAAACTGGTTATGCAGTTATAAGGGCTAATACAGTGCTGTGCAAAGCATAAGTAAAAGTTTAGGGTCCTATGTATCTCATTTTAAAATGTGAGTATGAAATAATAGCAGTGATTTACTGGATTTTTTTAAACCTTTTAAAAAGTTTTCTTTAATCCACCTTTTAGGATATTTCAACAAGAAGGTCTTAAAATATTTTCAAACTGTTTTTATTCCAAGTTGGAACAAAGCTCCTGAGATCAGAACTTACCCCAGAGTTACTTTTAGGAATTTTGAATTGTCTTGCTTTAATAACTTACATAGGGGTCATCTAGATAATGTAGAATGATTCCATTTCAGTAACAGTGGAAGCAAAGTATAGTTAATAAAGATTGGTATATACATATGATCGGAAATGTGTAATTATTGCTATCTTAGTGTGGTATCATAAAATGTCAAGATCCTAACAGCAAGGACTAAAACAATTTTTGGAATTAAATGATTTTAACAGAGAGAGTATTTTTAACTTTTAATTTCTTGGTTTGTTGATAAAGCAATTGAACTTGTCTAGTATAAAAAACCATTTTATAATTGATTTGGGTTTTTTTTAAATTCAGTTTTATGAAGCAGCATTTTCCAATGGAAATTGTTCTGTTAAGAAAACATTTGCCAGTTCTCTTTTCAGCCTTTATTACTTTGGCAACAGAGAAGTGACCTTTATAATTGTGGGCACAGCTTTAGTTGTAAAACCTATTTGCATGTAGGAAAAGCCTAACGTGCTATTGAAAACGTTTTCTGTGTTTCCTGGAAGAGGATGAAAACCCAGCTCCAATCCTGAGCCCTGCACTGCCAGATCTGCCAGGGATCTGGTGCACACTGTGTGTGGGCACACACTGGGCTGGGCTGGGCTGCCTTTGCTGCTGCACGTGGGCTGAATGTGAATGAGTTCTGCTGTGCTTTCCTTTCCTGGCTACACCAAGAAAACAGCTTTTCTTCCCTTTATCAAGTAGTTTAAACCTCTACTTGCAGAAGTTGCTTTTTAACAGCTAAATAGTGACAGCAGGTTTTGAAAGGAAATATGTATTCTACGGATCAGAAATGCAGCCCTGCGTTCACCAAGTGCCTACTGACATGAGTGGGAAACAAATGTCTCCACAAAAGATTTAATAGACACTTGATTAATGAAATAGTAGCAAAACTAACCGTGGGTTTCTCTGCCTGTCTCAGTCCTGCCAACGGAGGCCGCACGTGTGTGGGGCCAAGCTATGAATTCCAGCTGTGCAACACCCAGGACTGCCCCAAGGACTTGGAGGATTTCAGAGAGGAGCAGTGCCGGCAGTGGGACCCCTACTTTGAGTACCAGAACACCAAACACCACTGGCTCCCCTATGAACATGTTGATGGTGAGCAGCCCCTCTCCTGCCAAAACTAAAATGAGTTGCAAAATATGAATAAAAATTATATAGGGAGGGGTAAAACTTCTTCCCAGGAAATTATGCTTCCCAGGAAATTATTCCTCCTAAATCTGTTAGGAGGTGTTTGAAGGGATCAGTGAGTATGAGTGACTCAATTTATACAATGCACTTGGATTTTCAAAAAACTTCAAACACTGCTCCCCAATGCCAGCTGTTAAATGGATTTACCATGAGATAAAAGAGAATTATTTTGCATGGGAGGATGTCCCACTCTGAGAGCTGCAGAAGGACCTTGTGACACTAAGTGACACAAGGCAAAGGAAGTTTGGTGTTAATGAATGCCAGTAATGGATATGGGGGTAAAAACTGGCGTGTGTTTGTGTGTGTGTGAATGGTGGGCTCTGAAAAGCAAGGCTGGGAATAGCTTCAGGAAAAGATCAGTTCAGTGACTGTGAAGGGAGAGATGGAGAGCACTGACCTGCCCCCATGTACCTGCACGTTGTGCCTGCACTTTAAATACTCAGCCATGAGCTGTGCCCATCTCACTGCTGCCCAGGCTGCTAAAAAACCCACAGCTGAGCTCAGGCCAGAATAAAGCAAACATAAATAATGACTTCTCGATGAGGAGAGTTTGGATAAACCAGGACTTTTCACCCTGGAAAAGCAAAGATTTAGATTAAAAAGATAGAGTTACAGAGTTGTGAGTGGCCCAAAGAGACTGAACGTGGAATGATTATTGAGTTTCTCATAACACGAGCCTGGGAACATCAAATAAAATTATCAGGTGGCAGATTTAAAACAAATAAGAGGAAAGGCTTAGTACAAAGCATCTAATTATCTTGAAATTCACTGCCACAGAAGATTGGTGATGCCAGAAAGTTTTAGAAATTATTTAGAAAAATTCTTGACAGTTCTGCAGTCCATTAAGAGCCATTAAACACCAGGTTCCAGTAATGATTTTGGAAGTCCCCAAGCTGCAGTGTAGGAGGAACCATGAGAATATTCTGAGAAAAGTTTCCAGTTTGTTCCTGTGTCTTCCTCCAAATGCTGCTGGCACTGTTGGAGGCAGCTGTTGGTTTGGATGGGTGCTGGCTCTCAAACCAGCAAGGTTGACAGAGATCACCTCCTAGAACAAAAATGTTCCTGTTCCTGTTAATGCCTCAGCTTAACTGTCGGTGCAAGAGCAGCTGCTTGATTTGGGCCGTGTCTGCTCTTGCCAGAAAACACACTGAGCTGTTTTACCTAACAAGGGGGCAGAGGGCAATGAGTCTCAGCTTGTTGAATGAGCAGAGTGAGCTGCTCACTGGTTAAAACCCTAACACCTTACTTAAATGACAAATTCTTGAGGGCTGGGTTGGCCTGGCAAGGGGCAGGTTCTGAGCACCCAGCCCATCCTCAGCCCAGCTGCCATCGCTGGGAGGGAAGGGTCACTTTGGGTGAATCATTTTGCATTCCAATGAGAGGATATTCTGCCAGGAATTAATAGCAAATTCCTTATAATTAATTTGCCTGACTTTCTTCCCAAACAGTTCTCAGAGTTCCCTCATTCTTTTCATGCCATCTTGGTCAGTCTGTCAGTCTGGGATTTTCAAAGGCACAGACACAGCCTCACAGCTTAATTTCATAAAATAGCTTTGCTGGCACAGGGTGAAAGGATGAATGCTGTGGCTTGCAGGACCTTTGCTTATGCTTTAGCCTTTGGAGCAGTCTGCTGCAAAGACCAGTGAAAAAAAAAATCAGATTTTTTTTCAATTAAATTCAATGGGTTCTGGGTCAGAAACCAGCTCATTGATGTCTGAGCACTGATCCCTGGGCACTGCTGGTTTCTAATATAACTATGGTATAACTGCAGACACCTTGAGAGTTACATTTACCTGCGCAGGGTTATTAGAGGGAACAGCTTTTGTGTGAAAATAAGGCCAGAGACAAGCTTATGCTTGAACTCTAATCTATTCAGAACTCCCTTTTGTAAGGATAAGGCATATCAGGGACGTACTTGTGAGGATAATGCAGTTGTGGCTCAGAAGTGACATAAATCCATACACTTCACAGGCAGCTCAGCTGGACGTGTCTGACACATTGTGCAGGGCATAAGAACAGACAGGAGTGCCTCATGCTGTGGGCAGAGAAAAGCCACTGAGCTGGGGTGCACCCCAGTGTGTCCTTGAGCGTCCCATGCCCCGTTGTGCCATGGCCTGGCTCCTCTGAGCCCCCACGTCCTCACCCTGCTGTGCTCACAGGCTCCTGCATCTCCCTGTGCATCTGCCAGGGCAGCAGGGCGTGACTCTGGCCATGAGCTCCCAGCCTCAGCTAAATGAGAAGGGCTCAGAGAGCAGGGGCTGGGCAGGCACACCATCACATCCGTGCTCCTGCCCCTCTACTGTGCCCAGCACCAGTGAACAGGAAGGAAATAATTCTTTGCAATAGCAGGGTCTAATTTAACAGCACTTACACATTTACTGTTCCATGGAGCAGTGGGAGCAGAACCATCTCTAAAATAAAGCCCTTGTGCAGAGCTGCTGGCACCCAGGCAGACCTGCTGATATTTTCATTTAATCACACAGTGAGTGTGTGGGGTGGGGGTGGCTGCATACCCAGGGGTGCTGTGTACACATCTATCCTGTGCACAGCTTCATGTTTCTAATATACACATTAGGTCTGTCGTTATTATGATCTTAATAGTCTCCTATTAAGGGTTTGCACCAAAAAAAGTACCTGTTTTAATAGACTAGACCCTGGATTTTCAGCATGGCTTCTCTGCATGGTTTGGGAGCAGTAACAAAGGTCTCTGATGTACCAATACCCAGTGGCCTTGAGGACATCAACAGCAATAACAAGGAGTTTATAAAAAGAGGGCAGAAGTCATGGAACTGTACAGGGGAAGAATGCAAAGGGCCTGTGAAGATTTATTTCTGTTGAACTGCTACAATGGAAAGGTCGTTATTGTTTTAAATGGTGGGAAAAGCATTCCAACTTTTAATCATGTTAAAGTAGCAGAATATTTGTTTCATCTAGCAGAAAGGCCATCTGCTCTTCAGTGCCAAGGAAAGCATAGTGAATCCTATTATGGGGCTGAGGACAGCAAGAGACATGGATAAAATGAAATGCACTACTGGAATACAACTTTATTCAGCCACTGACTAGTCATTTTCAGCTTTATTTTTTGTTCTTAGCTCTTTGGAACAGATTAGAGAAAATACCACTTGTCTGGCTGTTTGTGCATGTGTTAGCAGTAAAAAAAAAGGGGTTTGCCTGAATCTTTTTGACATCTCATCTTGTTTAATGGTTTAAATTATCATAAATACAAGTACAACCATGAGGGAAAATTAACTTTGTGGTTAGGATGAAATGCTATGGCCCAGCTGTCTCTGAAGAAATTTTGGATGCCAGGTTCACTCAGTGTCAAACAGCTGCTTTTAATGGGAAAATTAATTTGATTTTTTTTTTTTTTTAATTTAAGTGAAGTGCAGGAGAAACCAGTATCTCTCACAGGTAGCCATGCAACTGAGGAGAGCTCTGCCAGATTGCATCATCTGCAAAAGATTAAATAGATCCCCCCTCAAAGTCAATGATCTGTTATTTTTAAGCCTGTCTCCTAATGGTGACACATGGATGCTTTATGATTCAGCATCTTCCAAGAGATCACAGAATTTTTCAAAGGGGATAAGCATCAATGATTTATGGGCACCACGCTGGGCTCTGTGATGTGTGCAAGGAAGAAGGGAGAGCCAACACTACTGAAAGAGCTGCTCACAGCATCAGCAACTAAACTGAGAGCTGAACATGCACCATTTGGGTCGTTCTGTTTTTCAGCCAAGGAGAGGTGCCACCTGTACTGCGAATCCAAGGAGACAGGGGATGTGGTGTACATGAAGAGGATGGTGCACGACGGGACCCGCTGCTCCTACAAGGATGCTTACAGCATCTGCGTGAGGGGAGACTGCCTCGTGAGTTCTGGGGGCTCCTGCAGAGCTCAGCATTGTGAAAACAACTCAAACTCTACCTTGAGTGCTTCTCTCCGAGCAGGACTAAGTATAACAACACTCTGGGCAATAAGGAGATTTCATTAGGATTATTGTCACAATATTATGTGTGGTATTCACAGTTGCCATGCACATGACTTGATTCCAAAAGCACCTACCTACACAAGTAATATTTCATGCAGCATTTTAAGATGAACTATTACAATTAGCTTTCAAGGAAAGCTCTCCCTGCTTAGTGGGGGTGGAATGTACAATGAAATAGGAATGCACAGCAGCTTTCAAGGAAAGTGGTGTTAGGATATGGCTGATGTGCATTCTCTTGGTATTTGATCATGCTATTTTTAAAAAATCAATGACAGTTCCTCTAAGTTGGGATCTGCTGCAGGTCATCTTTCACAGGAATTAGTATCTGACTAGCAAAACACTGGTGGAGGTGCTTATCCCCATATAGGTGCCTAGATTCTCCTGGAATTTAAGTATCTGTCTTAAGATAAGCTGAGGTTTAAGAGTTTTTCCTTAACCATGCTGCTTTCCTTCAGTAAGAGAACCACTGTGAAGCGTAATATGAAAATATAATCAGCCAGCTGACAGCTATTATAGGAACTGGAAGTATTAAAATCTGTTAAGGTGTTGATCTTCCAGGAGAATACTATGAGGTGTGCTACTTTGCTGAAGCAGAATCTCGGGGTTGATATGTAGAGTGAAGGCTCCTTTGAATTGAAAAGTGGATAAATAAGAATGACTGTTTCTCTCTTTGTGCACAGAAAGTTGGGTGTGACAGGGTCATAGGTTCCACGAAGCAGGAAGATAAGTGTGGTGTCTGTGGAGGAGATAATTCCCACTGCAAAGTGGTGAAAAGAACATTTTCAAGAGTACCAAAAAAGCAAGGTCAGTACATCCAGGGGGGTTTGTCCTGGGGAACTCAGGGTGTTTTTTCTTGGTCTCTTATTTTACATGGAAAGTACCAGGACAATTACAAATCATTTGCAGCATCATTAATTCCAACAAACAATCTGGACTTACTTCCAGATGTGTTTATAATTTGAAAATAAGACTTCTGTGCAGTGAGCAGTTAAAGCTGCTGATGCCAAGGCCTGTGCATGCATGGGAGAGGGCTTCCCTGCTCCTTGCTGGAGAGCTGTGGACTTGTGCTGCTGATGTCAGCCAGCTGCTGTGTCCCTGCAGTGCTGCAGTCATGTGTCACCATCAGGCACTGCCAGGCAGGAGGTTCTGTGCTCTCTGTGGAGCACATGGCCCTCAAAGCCCATCTTAGTCTGAAGCCAAGTCTGTTGGTGATACTTCAGGCATCTTTCTTCTGGCCCAAAGCCCTTTGTCCCTGTTATGTTCCATCACCTGGCAAAGAAATGGGAATGGGAATAATGCTGGATTCGCTTCATTTTGTTTAATACACCCTGCTTTCAGGAAATAAGATTTATTTAAAAACCTAAGACAACCCCACCCTGTTTGTGGCATATTAATCCATAACTATCTTTTCAAATACCTCAATATAGGGTACGTTAAGATGTTTGAAATTCCTGCTGGTGCAAGACATTTACTTATACAGGAAACAGATGCCACCACTCATCATCTTGGTAAGTAACAAGTAGGGAAATTTTCAGTCAGAATATTTTTTTCTGGTGTTTATTTTTGTCTCTGGAGGCTGAGAACGTGTTTATACATTTGTTTACCCATTACCCACCCACACCATGTACTTTCTCTAAGAATGTTAAATTAGGAAACTTGTTTGGCAATTTGATTTCCCTGTGCTGTATTCCAGGGTGTCCCAGCCAGATCTCTGCGTTGGTATGTGCAAGTATCAAAGCTGCTGGAAGAGGCACTGAGTTACTTTAGGGGGTCAATGCATTATCTTTGCGGGTTGGAAGTATACGATCAAAGTCCCTTTCAACCCAAACCACTCCATGGTATTTGTGTGCATCTTTCATGCTCCCCACACTCAGTAATTTCCCAACTATATCCAGATCTGTTCCAGATTCTGCCCCACTGCTAACAGTGCTGCCAGATCAATGCAGCAGTTTAGGAGTTAATGGCCTGGCCCTGTGGATCAGGGAGCAGTCCTCCCTCAGACAAAGTTCTGTCAGGATGGGGTGAGTGCTGTGCACACAGACAGCTGCCTCACTGTCTTGGCCACTGCCGAGGGAGCAGGATGCTCAGGTAGCTGCCAGGCAGAGAATGGAGTTAAAATCTGGTGTTACATAACAAATAGTCCTGCTTCTTCTAACGAGGAGGGCAAATGTTCCATCTCAGGTGAAAAGCTGTCCTCATACAAAGGTGGCTGAAGTCTCTCCAGGTGAAGGATGGAGCATGGTGAGAGCTGAAGAGAGGAACCAGGCTCTGTGTGCAGTGGCAGGTGCCTGCAGAGCAGCAGGAGCTTAACAGGGCTGTGCTGGTGTCAGCACTGGATCTGAGCAGGAGAATTAATGCTGCTTCTAGTGTCCCTCTGTCACTGTGGGGACCTGCTGAGGGTTAGCTCAGTAGCCTTTCTCTGATGGAGCAGTAACAACCCTCTGAGCTGCCTTACAACATATGAAAGAGCTGAATAGTTTTGGGACCCCCACTGGCTGTCAAATTGGCTTGGATTTGGCCAGTGGATTCAGAAGTTGTTATATGGGAGCAGGCAGCTGGACCCCTGTGGTGCAGCTGCATTGGCCTCATTTCTCTGGCAAGGCAGGCTATGAAAAAGGAAAAAAAAAGGATAACTGATCTTCCTGGAGCTGAGCAGAAAAGCATCGACAGTTCACTGAAACACCTGAAAAAGTCTTTCCAAACCTGTGAGGGAAGAGAGGGGAAATGCACACTGGCCTTTCAGCTTCGTCCAATGGAACATGAGCAGAGCAAAACTGGAGATGAGAAACAAACCTCTTATATTCACTTTTCTTGTGTTGTTCCCAGCTATTAAAAATCGTGAAACGGGGAAATTCATTCTAAGTGAGGACAACTATGTGCCAGACTCCAAAGTATTTATTGACATGGGTGTGGAGTGGGAATATCGGAATGACGACGACAGAGAAACGGTGCAGACCATGGGGCCGCTGCGCCATGGAATAGTTATCCTGGTAAGTCAGATGGAAACACCTTCCACAGAGCCATAACGGGCTAGCATATGGTTCAGATTCCTCTTGTGAGTAACAACAAGACACCTGCTTCAATTATGAGACAATAGAAGATGTATTTTGATTCCCTTCTCCCAGTTCATTGCTCTGTGTGAGGGCGGTTATAATTCAGGTTATGTGTTGAGCAGCCAGCTGTCCTGATTATTTCCTGTGGATGGCATAGCAATCAGCTATGAGTAGAGACTGCAGCTTACCTGTCCTATCTGACATGTGAGCACCAATCAAAAAAAGGTCACAGTGGTTCATAGATCTGATAGTTCCTTCTCCCATCCATGTTTTGAAAATGTATCCTGAAGGATTCCTGTGATCCTGGCTCCCTTTTTCAGGGCAAAACCATTCCATACTTCCCCAAACCACCTAAATATATTCTTTTTTTCATTGCAAACTAGCAAACAGTAGACTTCAATTCAATTCAGGGGTAAGTTGATTTAACATCCCTCTGAAAACAACTGTAATGTGTTGATCTACACCAGCTGAACTTCAAAGGAAGAATAAATACAATGTTTCCAAAGGACAAATATTTTGCACTTTGTTCAAATTGAGTTCTGTTTTCTTGCATTTGTCTTAGCGCAGTGTGATAACAAAACCTCTTTCTAAATAGTTTATATTTCTGTCAAGATTAAGTAAAAAAGCTTTGCAGAATTCCAGGATTATCGTAAGAATATTTGTGTTTTATCAGAAATATAAGCAATTTTCTTTGCCAGTTTCACTTATTTCTGCAGTTGAATTTGCTTTGTCTTTTAGTGGAACTATCCATTATCATTTGAGTACCAAATTTCCTTCCTTTGTGATGGGATATGGAAAAAATTTAGTATCATGATGTCAGTCCAATGTTGGCAAGGAAAATAAGTCTAAATCAACCACAGTCTTTCTTAATATGCAGTTTAGAAACTCTGTGTCATAAGGATGGAGATACTTTTTCATCAGGGAAAAAATGTGTTGAGTGCAGCTAAAAGGTTGAAATCCCTCCGGGGATGTTTTAGCCATGATCACTATTTCACATCATCTCACAGAGCTCCTGATATCAGCCTTTCATATCTTTTTTCATTACATCTCCTTTGCTTATTAGGTGATTCCTCATGGTGGTGCCAAGATATCTTTGACTTACAAGTACATGATCCATGAAGATTCCTTGAATGTAGATAACAATAATGTTTTGGAAGAGGACTCATTGTCATATGAATGGGCTTTGAAGAAATGGTCCCAGTGTTCAAAACCTTGTGGAGGAGGTAAAAACAAAACCTCAGATCATGCAAAATTCATTCATTGCCATGAGACGTTAGGGAGACCAGAGTATAGGAGGAATTTTATTAGATAAATAAATAGTGAATGGGGTTAAAATCTGACTTAAATGGTTTGGGGACAGATCTGGGCTGATTCATTTCTGATTTATGATTATGAAACTGAAAAATTGGACAAATGTACAAGATTTGGATGAGCATCTCCGAGCTGTGAAGGTGCCAAACCCCAAGGTGCCATGGGGCAGCCCTTTGTAAATCCCATCCAATGATGTGGCTTTTGCAATGTCAGACTCCTTTGTGGGGCCAGATGTGAGTGCTGATGCTGTTCCCCAGGCTGATGGTCAGGGTGCAGCACTGGATTGTTGCTGGAGAGGTTTGCAGAATGTTTTTGAGATGCTGGATCTGGCTGTTATTTCATTAAACATTATTTAAATGTTATTTTAATTTTCATGGTGAGGTCACACCTTGAGTGCTGTGTCCAGTTCTGGTCCCTCAGTTAAGGAAGGATGTTGAGATTCTTGAGCAGGTCCAGGTGAGGGCAATAGGCTGGAGAGGGGCTTGGAGCACAAGCCCTGTGAGGAATGACTGAGGGATCTGGGGGTGTTTAACCTGGAGAAAATGAGACTCATGGGTGACCTCATCACTCTCTATAACTCCTGAAAGGTGTTGCAGTCAGGTGGGGTTGGTCTGTTTCACCAGGCAACAACGGACAGAAGACACAGTCTTAAGCTGCATCAAGGGAAATATAGGTTGGATGTTAGGAAATAGTTTTTTATGGAAAGGGTGATCTGGAATGGGCTGCCTGGGGAGTTGGTGGAGTCACCATCCCTGATGTGTTTAAAAAAAGACTGGATGTGGCACTCAGTTGCCATGGTTTAGTTGAGGTGTTAGGGCTGGGTTGGACTTGATGATTTAAAGGTCTCTTCCAACCCAGTGATTTTTTGATTAAAGAAGTGAAAAATATAGGGGGTGAACAATTCTGGGTGTTAAATTTGCATTGCAAGTCTTTATTCAGTGCAGCTTACCCCTCCTGCAGATAAACACGCAGATAAACTGCATGTTTATCTGCAGTTCCTACTGCAGCCCTTGACAGAATTTGTGCAGCTCCTCTGAAACCCGAGCCCTGTGTGAGGTCTGCCAGCTCCCAGAGTAAGAGCAGTGTCTCTCCCCAGGCTACCAGCTCACCAAGTACGGCTGCCGCAGGAAGACGGACCACAAGATGGTTCATCGCAGCTACTGCGAGCTGATCCAGAAGCCCAAACCCATCCGCAGGGTGTGCAACCTCCAGGAGTGCTCCCAGCCCATGTAAGCATCCCTGCCCCCAGCACTGTCCCTGGGGGTGCCGGGGCACCACACCCAGCCAGCATTGTCACCTCTAGGCTGGTGGCCTCAGCTTCACCTTCGTGGCCATTACAGCAGCCCGGGACTGTGAGGATCTCACGCTCTGTTCTGCTCATGGAAATATTCTTTCTGTGATTGCTGGTTCCTGTGGCTTATGAAATAAGTTGGATTAGAAAATAAGTGCTGTCCTGATCCAGACTTTTGTGTTCAGGCCGTCTTGAGGTGATACAAAATAGACATAAATTCAATTTATACCGGCAGATTTTACACACTGTGAGTTAACCATGTCAGAGCAAATGTACAGAGTGCTGCAGAAAACAACCAATGTCAACGTCCAGTCTCTCAAATCCAAACCTTCATAAAGTTCACATCATATTTTTGGACATTTAAACTCAGGAAAAATATTTGACCTGTTAGATTTCTCTGGCTGCTCTTGTACAGCACAAAGTGCCTATCATTTCTGCTCTACATAGTCAAGTGTTATAAATATTTTAATTCACATTTTATGGGTGATTTTTTTTGACTGGCAGTAGGTTATTCCTGCCACATGTAGGACCAATATATTCTTTGTGCTACTACTGCAACAAGAAAGGAATATGTTGATCCCAGCTTTTGTCTCTGGGGACCGAGTGTAGGTTCCAGGAATCACAGCAAATAAATAGAACATACCACACAATATTTCCTAACTTCCTTTCAAAAGAAAAAGATTTGAAAGAGAGAAAAGGCAAAAAACTGTGCCCCATAAACTCTGCATGGGTCAGGGTTGAACATTTATTTATGGGAAAACTGAAGTAATGACCTAACCATATCTCAGGCTCTCTGGAAAGGACTGTATCCTCCTTTCAGCTGCAAATATAATTGGGCCCTGGTACCACAAAGGCTCAATAGGATCCTAAATTGTACTTGGATCCCTGAAGTTTCAGTTAACTCTGTTTCCATAGAATGTCATCCAAGCATTTTGCTCTTGTACATAGGAGAGGCAATTATTAAGGAGTTTTACAAAGCTCTGGGACACCCCCTACACTAATATGCTGCTTCTTCACTTCTGGGAAAAATTCATCTTTGTCTCAGAAGTCACCTCAGGATTCCTGTCTTCACAGCTCTTGCATTTCTTCACAGCTGTGTAATTTCTGTAGGTTACAAAGAGAAAGTTGGGAGAAATTGTTACTTTCTGATTAACTGGAATGTGTAGTGCAGTGCCTTGTACTATTTTTTGACCATTTCCAAACCCAGGATTTTATGAGTACTTTAGGACAATTCCCTCAACCTCAGGGTGTTTCTCCAGACTGTGTATATTTTTTGGTTAAGTTTAACCCAAGAATCTTGTTTACATGGAACAATATTTCCATCTTGCAGATATCTGCACTCTGTAAATATTTATAGACTGCTGTATGTCTTCACTTGATTATAACCAAGCTTTCAGTAGTCTAGGTAAACTTCCTTTGGTGCTGTCTGTCCCTATTGCTCTTCTCTAAGTCCTTTACAATTTATAGCTGTAATTCATGAGGCAGTTTGGGTGATCAATGAGGGTTTCAACTACACCACACTACAAACCGTAGATTTCATTTCTCAGTGGCCAAACTGATTTAGAAATTATGAACTCGAACTTTCTGGTTTTCAGTGGAGTGTTGCCTTCCCCCAAACCAAACATTTATGATGATGAGGACCCTGACCTGCCCAAGTTCAGCACTCACAGCACTGGGTTTGCCAGTGCTTCAGCAGATTGAGTCTAACATGGCCAGGGATGTGGTCCATGGAGTGCCCAGATGTGGGCCAGGCAGGAGCTGCATTTCTAGCCCAGATGTTTTGTCTCCACTCGTGTGGGAACCAGCTGGTTTGTGCTGCATTATGAGACAAGGCACATCTCATGCACCCAGACCTGGGAAGCTCAGCATCACCCTTGGGTGGCTGCTTTTGACATAAAAGTGGTCATATTTTTATGTGCCATCTTGGAAAGTGCAGCTTAAAATCAAGGCAAATACAGTGGAGTAATAATAATGCTTATCTTGGAGATAATGAGAAAGAGTAATATTGAAGATCTGGGTCTTATTAATGACACTCCAGGGGCAGTTAAATTACCCTCACCATAACTGCTTATGTTTTTTTCATATCTTCTTATTTTCTCCATATTAGAACTAGTATTAATATCACGTTAAACCTGTGTTTAAGAGTTACAGATCAACAGTTTGAATTTCACTCTACTCGCTCTCTTTTCACCAACCCAGATGGGTCACAGGGGAATGGGAGCCTTGCAGCAAATCCTGTGGAAAGACAGGGTATCAGGTGCGGTCTGTGCGCTGCATCCAGCCCCTGCACGACAACACAAATCGCTCTGTCCACACCAAGTACTGCAACAACGACCGCCCCGAGGGCAGGAGGCCCTGCAACAGGGAGCTGTGCCCAGCTCAGTGGAGAATAGGACCCTGGTCACAGGTCAGTCTCTTCCTGGGGGTCTCAAACAACTCATTTCTGTCTGGTGGAATGAGCATGACAAGTAATGCCCCCCCTGTGTTTGTGAGTAGATGGCTCTGTGAATAGATGGCTCGCATGTACAGGTGTTTGTTTATTGCTCTGACCACAGCTCGTTCTTGGAGTATTTCACAATTACTGGTGTACCACAAGAAGCAGTGAGTGGCTCTCCCTCTTGCTTCATTGCTGTACTGCAGTGGTTCAAATAATGTACCATGTCAGCTCGAATCAAGGCAGTTTAACATTGAAAAGCTAATTTCTGATTGGTTGTTTCCAGAGGGTGGCTGGGGTGTAACTGCTCCTGTCCTTTCAGTGCTCTGTCAGCTGTGGCAATGGCACCCAGGATCGCCCGGTCCTGTGCCGGACCAGGGACAATGTCATCGGCCTGTGCAAGGAGAATAAACCTGAGACCGTCAGGATTTGCAGACTACCTCCGTGTCCCAGTAAGACTTCTCCTTGATAGAGTCTGTTACTTGTTGAAAAAAATAATTATTTAATTACTTCATTGAATTGATACTTGTGTGCTACGCCTGACGGGTGGGGGCACTTCTCCATAGTCCCTGTTTCGAGTAGAATTCCAAATGTGGAGCTGCTGTGTGGCTGAAGGGCTCCTTGGGCACTCTCCTCCTGCTGGGGAGCACTGCTTGGCCCAGGACAGCCTGAGAGCCTGGGGCAGAGCAGGCAGATGGCCTCAGCACAGTGCTGATGGCCAGATGTGGCCAGCACCCAACAGCTGCCCTGGGAGAGGAGCAGTGCCTGAGTCCAGCCCTGCACCCTGAGACCTGTGGGGCTTGGCAAGGGGCTGCTGGGCTGTGCTAACCAAGGATGCCTCTTTCCTTTCCCCACCTCCACCAACAGTTCCAGGCTTCTTTTTCATTCCCTCAAACACAAGTTATCTGCAGGGGTTATCTAACTCAGTTTTTAGAAGCTGTAATTAATATGTTCCTGCTTAATCCAGGGCAATATGGCCTTTATCCTTGTTAGCTTTTCAGCTGCTTGCAAATGATATTTGTGAGATCATTTCACATATTCCTATTATTAAGTCATTCATATTCTTTTTTTTCCTGATGTATTTCTCAGGGTAGCTTTTGATTTCTAATTAATTAGAAGCAAGCTGTCAATTACAGTCTCCAATACAAAGATTTTAATGAGGCACTGTAACTAAACTAGACTGCATATCTCTGGGGGTGTGTGACACTGCCATGAGAAGTGCTGCTGGAGAACTGGCCCTTGGGCTGTCTTCAGTGTTGGCTGTGAAGTGCTGGGCACAAGCTGTAGCAACCTCCCCAAACAGCACCTTTTGCCCCAAATCAGACAGCTTGGTTGTAATCCTTCCCTGGGCTCCTTCACAATTGGAGCCCACTCATTCTCTGAGCTTGTCCCCTTCTGACAGGACAATTTAGTGCTGCCTAACATATGTTTTGTTGCATCTTTTTTTTTTTTTTTCCTCTATTCAAGGAAACGTTTCTGATCCTTCAAAGAAAACCTACATGATACAATGGCTGTCAAGACCTGATCCAGACTACCCCATCCAGAAAATATCTTCAAGTAAAAGACCCATTTATAACTCTGCCTTTGCCCTTAAATGCATGCCACATCGAATGTGGACTTTGCCTTTTGCTCTCTTCTTCTCTCTATGCGGAAAGTTCCCTTGACTTTGCCAAGTTTAAATCTTGGGCTGAATCTGTTTTTTCACACCAGGCACTCGGTGCTCGGTGTCTTTCTTCTCTGGAGCTTGCGTAGCCCTGGTGGTGGAGGTCTTGAAGTGTTGGATGTGTGAAGTTGGATCTCCACAGTATGTTGCAGTCCTCTGAAAGGGAGCTGGGGTCGGTTTGCTTGTTGCTTGGTGGTGGTGAAAAAAGGCTCTTACTGGTTCCTGATGTTCAGTTTGATAGCAAAACTGAGAACTTATTGTGAATGTGATCACATCACAATAATGACACCTTGTAGTGCTAAAGTTCTCCTTTATCTAAAAACCCGAAATCTCGTAACTCTCTGGTTTCAGTTCGCTGACAGGGTAGTCTGATGAGTGGAAGAATTTTTTCATTCCATTTTCCTTTGTGGTGCTGTTGCTTTCCTCACCCTTGCTGCTCATTTTTTATTCCTGACCCTCACCTTTACGTTTGTGACCCGTGGAGGGCTCACTGGGAAGCAGAAGCTGAGTCTGTCAGTACTTTCCCTGCTGCTCTGATGCCATTGCTCTGGCCAGACTCTGATGGTCGTTTGGAGGGTTTTTCCTCGAGAAAAGCTGCGCTCATTTTTTCCATCGCACAATTTTTGCCAGTTTTGCGCATTTTCACTTTAGAAACAAACCCAAAGCAGAGCAGGCATGGTCCATGGTGAAGGTGGCGTGGTGGTGTTTTCCTTAACGTGGCGGAGGCAATATGATGTTTTCATTGACTACGATGTCTCCAGCTGCTCAGCATGGAGCTGTTTATACTCATTACATCTCTGGTCTTTTTTCACCATGTGCATGTCTGACTTGACTGGTACGGTTGTGTGTGTGTGTGTGTGTGTGTGTGTGTGCTCTTAGATGTGTCAACTGGCAAACATAACAGTGTGAACTACTACAGAATTACCTCAATTTTTATTGCTTTTTTTGCTTAGGAGATGAATTTTAGAAAAATGCCTTAATGTTGAAATGTAAATGGCATTAATTTACCAGATCCAGCTTTAAATATGAACAGTACACTGGTACCTTGAGTTGATCTTCATATGGAGTGTTTTTACTTGAACGATACCTATTGGAAGGCAGTAAATTAAACTGGAGGTTGATTTGCACAGTGCATATCCATATCTCCATCGAGACAGGATTGTGGCCTGACTTACTGAAATTTAACTGGCATTCGTGCTTCACCTTCCGTGTTTGTGGATTTGGAATTCACAAGTCATAAACTTCTGTGTGACAGTCAGTACCAATAGTAGAAATATAAAACTGCAGTCTTGGAGCAAATTACTACCTTATTGCTTTGATAATATTTTTTGGAAAAGTGGCATTTTTGAATCTTTGGGTCGTCAACAGTGTAGCACTTCAAACTTGTCATTATCATGTGATCACATATTTAAATTTTGCTGTTAATATTTCCTGAAACATGTTAACAATTTACATGACAAGGTGAAAAAGCAAAGACACGTATCTGGCACTGAATACTGTTATGTAAAATAATTGGTGTTTAACTGTATAAATATATTCATGACTGTTACCTTTAAATAGACAATGTTTAGTGATGTTTCAAGAGATGGGTGGCTATAGAGAATGGTGCAATAAGGTATCTGGGCATTGTGCACTATGTCTATATGCACTTTGGTTTATCAGGGATATTTTATTAGTGTTTTGTATGTATTTAACATAATATTAAAGATGTGCCAATTCAGTTTGCTTTTCAATATTTTTTTATGAGACTAATGTGTACCAAAGTGACTGTGAAACTGATTTATTTTTTTCTTACTGATGTTTTGAATATATACTTCCAGTCTGTCATGCATACTGCAAGTAAAAATAAATAAAAGTTCAGCAAATCTGGCTATTTTGGTTTGGATAGAGGATCAAAATTTCATTCTGGCATTGAGAAGTTGCAGAGTTTATTTATATGACTTATCAGATGTCACTAAACTTATCACATAATGCAGTTTTATTTCCATGTATTGTTAAGCTTGACATTGCATGTTTTTATTAGGGAAAAAAGGCATTTTTCTAAAGGTGCTGTTACTGATTCTTACAAAGCCAAGAACAGACCTGCCTTGTTAAAATCACATTTAAATATTATATCTGTTGTCTTTTACTATAGAAGCCATTTGGGGGCATATGCATAAGGGTCATGCATCACAAGGCAAAATGTTTCAAGGGGACTCTTAGGGGTTTGTAAAAATATACATACATTGTATAGGCACATTCAGGCCTTTGTATGGAGCTGTGCATGCAGGTTTGAACAGTTCCAGCTCTTATAGGCTGGCTTGAAAATCTCTCCAAAACCAAGGTACTATTCTTATATTCCTAAGGAAGGAGTCATTCCTAATATCCAGCAGTATTTCAGTTTGGTATTTGAAAAATATGAAAAATACCTGGCACATTCTAAAGCAGCAACTAGAATTTTGTTTTTCTGCAACAAAAGCAACAATCAGAGCATAGATACAACGTACAGGAGGTGTTTTCACCTGCCTCAGCCAGCACTAGCATTTTAAAGCAGCAGCACCAGCTATTAGTTTATTTTAGACTGATATGTTTGCCAATGAAACACCCACGATGCCCTGTTTTGTTAACTGAGGATGAGTGAAGAGGTGGCACCTACGCTTTCCAAATCCCCTTTATCGCTGAACCTGCTCTGCTTCTCTCCTTTGCTGTGAGGGTGCTGACACAAGCCAGTGCTCGTAGCAGGAGGCTGAAATGTGACTCCAGATCAGGCTGAGGGCACTGTCTCACATCGGGTGCACTCTAAATAAAAGCGAGTAATTGGAGTTACTCACCCTTTACTGTAAGAGTAGGTGGAAATGTAGTAAGAGCAGGGGGAGAGTGACAAGTGATTTCATCTCTGTCTCAGCACTCTGGTCACAGAGAAATGTTTTATTAGTGATGACGCCAGATATTGGTCAGTCTGCCTTTCTCCTCAGCCCTCTCCTCTCCTACAAACCCTCTGACTCCTCTCTCAGCATGGGCTGCATGTTGGGATTTTTCCTCCACTGCAGTGCCTGGCTCCATTACTTCATCCTGGAGGCACAGGAGCTGAGGGGTGTCTGTGTGGGACAGCAGCTTTCTCTCCAAGGAGCCTGCTAGACCCTCACCACCCATTTCCCACCAATTCACACCGTCCTCTGCCTCCCCTGAGCAGAAATCACAAGGGCTTGGGGAATCTCTGAGTAGGCTTCTGTTCATGTTTCTCAGGCAGGAACACTTTGACCACTTCACCTTTAATGCCTCAGCCTACAATTTGCCACCTGCATTCCAAGCACGATCAGGGATCTGCCATAACACCTCTGTTATAGTGCAGATTGTTGTAACAGCTATTGACAGCTTAAAGCTTATTGATTATCATTCTTTCTCTTTTATTACAGTCATTGACACAAAAATCAGGATTTTACTTAGTCTCCCAGTAATTAATGGGCTGGCTTGGCTCCATTGCACTGGAGCTTGTTGTTCCAAAGATACCAGCTCCCTTCTAGGAGGAGTAGCAAAGCCTCATGGCACCACTTTTCTCTCAAACAAGAGACATGCTGAGAAAACACTGCTATTTTCAGAGTAGGGGTACCTGGCAACAATATCACTTTGATTAGTGGAGATGGATTAATTCTGAGAATTACACATATCAAAATAGGACTTGACTTTCCTGAGACAGTCTGGATAAATATATGTTACCCCTGACTGTGGTTAGTCACTGTTTGGTTGCAGAAAAGCATTAAAAGGAGCAAATGGGGAAAAAATAGATTTCTTAATATAAAACTTCACGACTTTGTGGGAGTTCAGTGTAGTTTTAGTAACAGCACAGCACAATCAGTGTGTTTTGAAGTTTAAACCAAGACAGTAACACAATTCATTGTGGCTTCATGGTCTGTAGGGTAGAGCTTCCAGGATGTGAAGGCAAAAATTCGAGTGTGATGGTCCAGAGCTTGGATGGGGCTGGTACATACAGTTCAGATCGGCTTTTGCAACTCTTGGAGTTGACTTTTAGGTTAAATATAAGCCTGCTTCTGCTTGTAGAAGGCTCATTTGCCAGTTTCCCAACCCACTTTAAATATCAAACCCTCTGCCCACTGCCAAAGCTTCAGCTGTGTTTCTTTTCCTGATTAATGTGGAGATGCTCTTTATTTATCTGTTCCCTTTTTCTCTTTCAGAAGATCATTGTCAAGGAGACAAGTCAATGTTTTGTCGCATGGAAGTTCTCTCCCGTTACTGCTCCATTCCCGGGTACCATAAGCTGTGTTGCAAGTCCTGCAACATGTACAGCAACGTAACAGAGGATGGCAATGTAACCAGTGCCAATGTAAATAAGAATAATGCCATTGAGGAGGAGCTCCTGACAACCCTCAGCCCTCCCGTGGGAGTGTCCACCACACAGTCTGCCACCAGCCCTCCTCTGCTTTCCAAAACACGTGCACCCCCTTCCAATGCCACTGAGGAGCACCCAGAAATCAATGCAGTGGATGTTCCCTACAAAGTTGATGGCTTGGATAATGAAGTACCACAGCACAACATCATTACACGGAGGAGGCCTTATGAAAGGACAAGGAATCAAAGAATTCAGGAGCTGATCGCTGAGAAAATGAAAAGAGAGACTCTTAGGAAAATAAACTAAAATGGAAATATGGCACGAACAACATTTTTCTCTTATAGAGATGTTACCAACTTCGTAGTATTGGCCATCGTAGAGACTAAGAATGGGGGAAAATCGAAGTGGTGCTATGGCAGAGATACCAAATTCTCAAGCCTACTATAAATGGGAATGACAGATTGTTTCATAAGTGCTAATCTGAACACTTTGATGGCTAGGTTAGGTGTACAGGGTACGGCAGAGTATTAGTGCAATATCCCTACAGTGTCCCACTGAATCCAAACAAACCGTGTTACTTAGGTCAGGTTAGCAATTTTCTCAGTTACAGGCTCTTTAAAGTCTTCTACACCTACATAAAACTGCTTGGGAATAGTAAAGGGAGTCACACTTAGTATGGCAGAAAGCAGTCCCAAGAAAATAAATCCCTTTAACTCTGACAAGCAGGGGGTCAGCACTCCTGTGATGCTTCTGTGCCTAGCACAAAGCCTGGCACTAACACAGCCAGCTTCGGGAAGGCTCTTAGGACATGCCAGGCTGGGTTTGGCTGACCTTGGCAGAGCTGCCTCTGGTCACAGCTCGGCATGTGCTCACGTAGCTTCCTGAACCAGGACTGTGTAAGAAAATACAGAGAAAACTCTGTAGCCATATATTTATGTGTAAATTAAAAACTGACAAACAGTAGTTTACATACTTCCATAAACAATTTCAAAGGATTCTCCTAAACTTTTGGACACATGCAAGACATTTAGTAGGGTAGATCTGGCCAACTTGGACTGACAACATTCTAGTCTTTCTGTTTACAATTATCCATATTTTTTATAATCTTTAAGTTCCTGTAATGCAACAGCCTCAGTGATCCTTATTGGTCGGTGCTTTTTTTATTGGTCTGATTTTTTTCTACCCACATTCTGTTTAACTTAAAGATGACTGGATTCTTGTTGTCTTTTCTTTGGTGCTTTGTTAAGAAAAACTTTTTTTTCCCCCCACATAGGATGCAGTTATTTTTGAGGAATTAATTTTGTATTATCTTCCTTTCCTTAGGACAGCTTTAATGGTGCAGAAGTGAACAACTGTTTGCTGTGCCCTTACATGAACACACACACATACACACACATTGTGTATTCACAGCACTAGGTCTGCTAGAAAACTTTAAGATGTGTAACCTGACAACCCTTTGAGTACTTTTTTCCCCCTCAGGGTCATCATGGTTTTCACAGGTCATTTTGAATTCCTGGTTGGAGAACAGAAGATGAACTCAGCTTGGCTCTAACACTGCTGAGACAGGGAGCATGGACTGGTTCCTGCTGTGGGTGGCATCTGAGCAGATTTTTTCCTGGCTTGGATTCTTCCATTTGTTTCTTCTTTGCTGGTAAATCTCCTGCAGAGTCCGGGGCTTCCCTGAAATCCTCTCTTTACCACTAGGTAGGTTTGGTGGCTCCAAGTTCATATTTTCCAGTCTGAGAGGAAGATCTCACCCTCCAGCCTGAGCTGGTTCTGGTTTGAAGCAGCACCAGCAATAAGCCCATATATAGAGTCACAAAATTATTGGGAATGTGCTTCATTCCCAGCAGTGAGTGAGCTCTTCCCTGGTCCAGCTGCTGGCAAAGAGCTTCACAAGTACTGCAAGGTGAAGAACGTGTGACTCTCTGTGACTTACCTTCTGCCCTTGACCACCACGACTGAATGAACTGCCCAGTCTCCTCTTCCAAACGAGCCATTCCTGCTGGAAAGGAGGCAAGAGCCTGCAGGAACCTCAGGCTTTACAGCACCTACACGTGGAACTGTTTTGGCCTGAACTGTGGCTAGAAGTTTCTGAAGCACAAGCCTGGTCTAAGAAAAATTCTTCATGGAGATACTAGCCCAAGCAGAGAAGGAATGTTTTCAGCTGGGATGTGGCATCCAGTGCTCCTTCTTACACAGGGTCAGGGTGATACACTTGGAGCAGCTCGGTGCAGGGATGAGAGATACCCTGAAGACAAGGATAACTGGGAAGCCAAACAGGCCTGCTAAGAGTCCAGAGCATCAGGAAACGTCTCCTGGGCCAAGCAGACGTGGCTGCAGATGTGGAAGCAGCAGCAAGTACAAGCAAAAATCTGTTCTGGTTTGTAGAAGTAAAATTCAGGCCGTGCAGTTTGGCAGCACAGTGGGATCAGTTCCACCATAGATTTTCACTCCTGGGACATGGAGTGTTCTCCTGCAGTCGAAGGGTGCTTGTCCTTGGTGCCCTGTCCCAGCCCAGCTCCATGACCTGCTGGCTGTCACACAGCCACGGTGTGCAGGCAAGCCCCAGGAACCTTGTGCCAAGGGATTTGTGGTTGCCTACATCTGGGACAAGTTCTAATAACAGTGTAGGGTCAGGTCACATCTGTGCACAGCAGCAACGTAGTAATGAGACTGAAGGGAAAAAAACCCCACCATTCTATTTATAAGCAAGGAAGATGTGTCTAAATCAAGATCATTCCAGCTGCTGTGCCATGGGAGACACAAGCTGTAGCCAGCCAGGCTCCCAGCCTGTAGTCATAGTATTTCTTGCCTTCCACGTTTCCTTTACACAGATGTGGTTAGTATAAAACTCATCTTTTCCCCTTCAAGTTAGTATCTTTTTAGCTCTGTGGACAATAAAAAAACCACAACCCCCAGCTTTTTCATAGACTAGGAAGCTCATCCAAGCATATGAAACTTAGAAAAAAATCTTACAAAGCCAAAGATAGAAAGGGTTGGAGCTGGATTTATGCAGATGGGGAGGTAAAGTTTGCTGCCTGGAGGGTACCAGTCTAACCCTCTGGGACTTTTTCAAGACCCATTTCTCCAATCTCCTGAGGTAACTCATCTAATAGATTCTGTTCTGCCCTAGCTTCTGGAATAGGCTTAGTCAACCAGGCAGTTTGAACTGGTACGGTTGTGTGTGGTGCGAAGAAATACCACAGCAGGCAGTGCTCACAGCTCAAAAAAGCATTTTTCCAGATAAAGTGGAAAGTTCTGCTGCCTCAGGGAGCAGGAGCAGCCTCCTGGAAGGCTGGTCTGGTGCTATGTTAGGTCCAGTGTTCATTAGGAACCCAATGCAATGCCTGGTGGCATCTGCATTTTGGAAGGGCTTGTTCCTTTCTCAGTCTCACCTTTTGGGAGATTTAATTTGATTTGTTTCTTAATGGTTTAAATTCTACTGAATATTTCTCTAGCTGTTTTTTTTTTTGGGGGGGGGGGGGGAGAGGGAACACTAAACTGCTTGAGGCAGCATCTTCAGTCTACGTTGCTCAAGACATCAAGAGGCTGATGGAACATCTCTTTAAGGAGCAGGAGCCACCAGCTGCCTTCTCTTCACACTCTTCCTGCATGAGAAGGGGAAGTTAATTCTCTTCAGACCAGAAAAGATGCCTTCTTTTCAAGCTGTCATGGGTTCTTCAGGAGGTGTTTCTTTTCAGCAGTTCCCCAAGAACATGTACATCACTTCTATTGGAAAACACAACACTGTGCTCTATTGATAAAGAAAAAGCAGCCCCAGACAAAAGGTGGAGCTCTCCTGAGCTGATCTAATTTCTGTGTCATGCAGTGGAAAATTTGGTAATTTTTTTGTTTGGTTGAACTTTGACAGCTGTTTCATCTTCTCTACAATGCTGTAATTGGGCAAGAGCATCATCACAGTGGATCTTCTGTAACCAGTTTGCTGCTGCCCAGGTGCTGCATTTTCAGACACAACAAGCAGAAAGCAATATTTTAATGTAACCTAATCCCCAGAACCTAAAGCAGGTTTATAAACAAATATATTACTGCAGGAACCATCTCAGAGATCTGAGAGATTAAGTAATGTGCTCCCACGAAGCAATGTATTTATGATCTAACCATGCAGGTACAGTTTTCTCAATTGTCATTTTTCTGGCTGTCTAAACTTAAAATCCAAGTGACAGCCTGAAAAAAAAAATCCCAAACAAACTCTGATTTCTTTGGCTTCAGTCATCTGCCATTTTTTTCACCATAATTTCTTTTAAAATTTCTGTTATCTATTATGAACGCATCACTTTTTATATTCATATATCCATTCAGTATTTAGAGTCTCACAACACCTCCATAGAATGCTTTCAGATATTTTGAGAATTCTAGAAACGGTGCTTTACCAGTACTCAAAGGGGTTTTTGTTTTATTTTATTACATAATGCATTTAATATCTTATTTACTCACCTACAATGCACAGTATTAGCTATATTCATCTGAATATCTATATGCAACTTCCATTCACTTACATATGCCTTAACAGAAATTGCAATAAATAACCATTTCTTGTATATTAAAAATGTATATACAAATTAGAATCTTTAATTTTATAATTTATTAAATTTAAATGTCTGTGTTCTTTTGCAAAAAAAAAAAAGTGTTTGGCTTTTCCCTGTGCTTTTTTCATTGAGTCGATGTTACACAGAGATGCTAGAAAAGGAAGAGCCAGCATCTTCAGACTCAAAACCAATTCAATTTCTACAACTTAATGAAGTGGGATTGGGATACACTTGCTGCCAAAGTCCTACATCCTTGTTACAACATCCATTATCCAAGGCTAAATATCATGAAGTCACTGGACCAAAACCTCAGTTGACAACTGCATGGAAATTAATCAAACTCACTTAAACCTGCTTGAGGCCCAGATCCATCCTGGTCCATGTATAATCTCTTTAAAAGTCTCAGTTATTTGGGCTTCTATTCAGGACTGATGAGTGAATTCTGCTTTGCATGTCCTATTGATAAAGTAATTGCTCCTTTCCATGAAATTCTTTTGCCCACATTCTCCTGCCATATTCTTCACAAATGTAGCCCGGTTCCCTTTAAAGCATAATTGAATCTTTCTCATCTGATTGAAGTTTGTTGCTTGAGGATTTGAAATATCCCTGCTTACTGTGGTTATTCAGTGAGCACCATGCAGTGCATTCTAGTCCAGCATTCTTTAATCAGGTAATGAGCCACCTCAACACTTTCCATCTGGAAAAGTTATTTACACAAATAAATGTCCCAATAAAACAGTGGACAAGCCCAAACCTGGGCTTCATTTACTGTGATAATTCATGCAGCATTTACAGCTGTGACAAGGGTTATATTTAATTGCCTTTTGCTTACATAGATTTTGAGATTTTTAGAGTGGCTGTGGCAAAGGGTCTCACATCCACACCCCAGACATGAGGGACACCCAGGGTGAGCTCAGCATGTCCAACACCTCTCCCTCCCCCTGGTCTTGCTCTCTCTCTCTCACTCAAATGCCAAAAGATGACACCCACAGGAGGCCTTCTCCTCCTCTCCTTGCCTACATCAGATTTTTATCCCTTTTCACCATCATCTGGCTCTGAGGAATTTTTTTTTTAGAGGCAGCTCAAGGAACTGCAATTCCAGGTCAGGAAAGCAGTTTTCAGGTTATTCTTAATTACACCAGGCAGAAGGCAGCTCCAACAAAGTGCTGTGCAAATTCAGCTCCCCTTTCCCACAGCGAGGGGGGCACAGGATGATTTCCAGGGCGTTTCCAGGGTGTTCTGGCTCAACACGTGGCTTTGATCACAGGGGGCAAAAAAGGCTCCTGAGCCTTCCTGGCAGATAAATGCCTGGAAACTCCCCTAGGGCTGTGTGTGTGCATGTGAATATATGTGTGTGTGTGCATTGCTCACCTTTGCTCTCCCCCTGCCCCCTCCCCACCCCCTTTCCCAGTCCCTCCTCCTTTACCACCTTCCCAAAGCTGAGCAGGGCCCGGAGCGATGGAGCCACAGAACCACATCAAGCACTTCGAAAATCTTATTACAGGAGGGAACAGAGCAGGACGACACACGTGGGAGAAGCCTTATCCTGGCTAACCTGCTGGGTTTAATGCTCCATCAGCAGGGTGCTGCCACCAGCATCCCCCGGGATGGAGCTGGACCGCGCAGCCCCGGGGCTCCCGGCAGGCCGGGGTCGCTTCCCCTCGGTGCAGCCGCCACTAGATGGTGGCACGGCACAAGAAGTGGGGCTGAGGCAGCCGCTGGACTGTGACCCCAGCCGGGAAAATCCCTTGGTTTGGGGGGAGGCGCTCAGGAAGGGCCGGATGGAATCAAACCCCCTCGGCTCGGCCCCAACCCGGTGTGGATGGAGCCGAAGATGCTGCTGCGCTCTGTCCTGCTGTGCTGCTGAGCTGCCGTGCTGCTGCTCTGCTGAGCTGCTGTGCTGCTTTGCAGCTGTGCTGCTGCGTTGCTGCTCTGCCGTGCTGCTGAGCTGCTGTGCTGCTGCTCTGCTGAGCTGCTGTGCTGCTTTGCAGCTGTGCTGCTGTGCTGCTGCTCTGCTGCGTTGCTGCTCTGCTGTGCTGCTGCTCTGCTGCTCTGCCGTGCTGCTGTGCTGCTGCTCTGCTGCGCTGCTGCTCTGCCGTGCTGCTGTGCAGCTGTCCGTGGCTGGGGGATGGAGGAGAGATCCTGCAGGAGAGAAACACAGACAGCACCTGCAGTGGAGAATTAGAGCCATGATAAATCCCACCACGCAAAACACAGAAAATAACTCAAGAATAAGTTGTTTTCTGGGGTTGTTATTTCTTAGGGCGTCTAAACCCTTCCCAGCTCCTCCAGAAGAAACTTTAGAGGCCAGTAACATAGCAAGAGGTTTCACTGATGATTGTAATTTAATTTTGAAAAATCTTTTTTTAAAGAAACACAACACCTATGGACAGACAAATCCGTTTTAGGTGACCCGGGCTGCTGGCAGAACAGGGGGTTTCATGTGACCCCAGGCAGGAGAAGGTTTTCAAGTGATGGCAGTGCTGCCCTCACTGAGGCCTGCAGCAATTCACAGTGCTCAGCTCTCCAGCCTCTTTGTGTGGTGCCTCCAAGAGGAACCAATCCACACCAGTGTTCAGCCACTTTGGGACATGTTTAATCTAAAATAATGATGAAAAATTTAACCATGCAAAGATATAGTTTAATTATAGGCAGATCAGTAACAACAGAAATAAAAATGTTGATATTATTTTAAATAAATAGTCTGGGATGGATTCCCAGGGGAGGTTGCCAGCGAGTTGTCATCATGGTTTGGACTTCTGAGACTTTGAAGTATTTTAAGAGAAGTCTGCGCTGGCACAGAACTCTGCTGGCCATGAGCAACCACTGCCAATGAAGCCATGACCATGTAATGGCCTGGAAATGCCCAGCAAAGGCTCCCAAGAGTAATTTTCCAGCTTAATTAAACTGCTAATGAATAGTTAAAGTACCTAAATCCCCTGGAACCTTGCAAAGGCTCTGCACAGGACTCCACCCATGTTCCCAGCTGGATGGAGAGCTCAGGTCCTGCAAACAAGCCTTGTGCCCTGTGGTGATGTGCTGCAGCCACCCAGCCCTCACACAGCAGCTGGTTCCTCACCTGCAGAAGGCAAGAAATAGCCAGGACCTCCCAGAAAATCCGTGTGCATCAGTGACAGCGTTGGCACATGTAGCCACCACCAGCTGCTGTGTGAGCTGCAGTCACGACAACAGCTGTGGGTGCAACAATTCCAACCCAACTCTGCCTAGTTAATACAAAACCAGCTCATTCATATTTCATGGCAATATCTTCACTGGTACCATAATGACTGCTTGATGTAATGCACAGGAGGTTAATGGGCTGGGGGATGTAATCAGAGAACACAGATTTGGTTTCTGGCACAAATCAGGTCAAAACATTTTCCTTTCCTAAACTTTTTATGACAAACATGGAAACACAGCATCACAGAATGGCTTGGAATGGAAGGGACCTTAGAGATCATCTGGTTCCACCCCCCTGCCATGGCCAGGGACACTTTTCACTAAACCAAGTTGCTCCAAGCCCATCCAACCTGGCCTTGAACATTTCCAGGAACCCACAACCTCTCTGGGCAGCCTGTGCTTCAGCACACTCACAACAAAGTATTTCTTTGTAATC